TACAATTTTGGTTCAGTTGTCTTTTAAAAAATTAGGGGGGATAACTTTTCGTTTGTTTGTTTGTTTAGTTTATTTAATGGAGGTACTGGGGATTGAACCCAGGACCTCACCCATGCTAGGCATGTGCTCTACCGCTGAGCTGTATTCTCCCCTTTTTTTAAATTCTTTTTTTGTAAGTTTGTTTGTTTTTGGCAGGGGGAGGTAATTAGGTTTTTATTTATTTATTTATTTATTTATTTAACAGAGGCACTGGGGATTGAACCCGGGACCTTATGCATGTTAAGCACGTGCTTTACTCCTGAGCTATACACTCCCCTGTGTCCATTTTTTTTTAGAGGTGGAACATACAATCTTCAAACCAAAGTCTTTTGTTTTGAAAATTATTTCTAAATGCTTTTTCCTCTGTCTTTGGGTGATGGTGTCCTTTTTGTTTTCTGTCATCTCTATAGACCCTGGAGCTTGGTAGTTTTTCTGTAAACTCACTCACCTTTTTGAAGGTGTGAGCCAGGCCCCCAGCAGCTACAGTGGGCTCTGGGCAGAGACTGATGTGGATTCATCTGGAGGACAAGTTGTTCAGGGTGTGAGGAAGAGGAGGGTGTGGGGCTGCCGCCAGCTGCCCGAAGCCCTGTGGCCCAGCCGCTGGCCTGGCAGAGGCTCTGTGGCCCGGACCCCAGGTGCCTGCCTCTGAGGCCAGCTTCTCCAGGTCCTGCCAGCTCTCTGGGCCTCATGCGTTCATCTGAAAAGCAGGGGTGGTGATGGCTCTTTCACCGGGGTGGAGTGAGGATCAAATATGAAAACGCTGAGCAGATGCTTATGGATTATAGCAAAGGCCAAGTTGTTATTCTGAGCTATGATTGTGGTTCTGGTTCTTCGGGGGACCAGTTGGATGGTTTGGGGTAAGCAGGTCCAAATTTTTCCAATTTAGGGAACATTTGACATTTTGGGTGGGATAAGCCAATGAGCTCCCCACCCCCGGCTCCCGGAGTCTCAGTGTCCTTACCTGCATGTAAAGAGAGTAACAGTACCTCCCTCCCCGGGCTGCGCCAGGATTAAATGGGTTCCTCTACGTAAAGCCCTGAGATTAGCTGTTGGCACCTAGTGGGAGTTTTACAAGGATTAACTCATTACACCATCACATAATCCAGTGAGTTAAATACCACTCTACCCATGCTTTACAGGGGAGGAGGAAACTGAGACCAGATGGGTGAAGTGGCCTGTCCAAGGTCACACAGCTCTTGAGTGGTTGAGCTAGGATATAAATCCAGGCAGTCTGTCTTGAGTGTCTGCATTTCTAACCACGGTACTATACTGTCACTGTTTTCACTGAGATGGGGAAAAAGGTGGGTAAGGAAGGAGAGCAGCCCGGCCTTTCCCTTCTAGAACTTAAAATGACAGTCAGGCTTTGGTTATGCTTCTCAGCCCCACCTTGCTCAGCTTCCTCAGCCACACCTCCTCCAGGAAGTCTTCTCAGATGAGCCCCACCTATATGATCACTCCTGTTTTCTCCATGTGCCTTGAACTTATGAACCTAGTTTTCTGCATGGTGCTTTGTAACGCTTTGAAAATTGTTATTCAACTCAATGGACATTTATTACATGCCTAGAACACAGGGCTAGAACCCTGGGGTGTGCAGACATGGATAAAACAGTTCCTCCCTGCCAGGCATTTATAGCCTTAATCAAATCAAAGGGACATAATCAAAGACATTGGCCATATGAAATACCAATGAAAGGGAAATTGAGATCAGTGTTGTAAAAGAAACATGAACAGCATCTTACAGAAGTGTAGGGAAGATATTGGTTAATTCAGACTGGGGGCGGTGGCTCTGAGAGAGCTTCACAGATCACGCATTGGCACTGGGCCTCACAGGTTGGCTGAGACTCTAAGAGGCAGTGTGGTGGGAGAGCGATCAGAGGAGAGAGCAGGAGCGGAGACCCAGCCTGTACAGTGTGTCCCGCAGGGTGGGACGGCACTGAGCGTAGCCTGCGGTGGTCATCGTTCGTAGGAGCAGGAACCCTTTGTCCTTAAGACTTGTCCATGTGTTTGCATCTCATTCGAGTCGTCAGTGGAGGCCCTGCTTCTGTGCTGCTGTCCCGGACGTCCCCAGGCGGACATGCTGCTCAGAGAGCCTTTCTTCTGCAGGGGACAAATTGAGAGAGGTTGGTTTGTCTTCTGGTCAAGGGCTTGACTGCCTTGCTCCCATCTCCCTGGCCTGGTGAGGGCGTCCTTCTGGGCCGAAGCGAGAGCAGAGCTGGGGCCCTGCATCGGTTGAATTCTACTCAGCACCTGAACTTTTTGATGGGAACCTAGGGAAGCTGTTCCCATCCCCTGATCCCAGGAAAGCACTCAGCCATGTTGCTTTGGGTGGTTCTGAGGTCTGAGGTCTAGCTTCATGTGACAGATGCCAGGCACTTGGGGTTAAGGTGACAAATCTAAATACTAGGCTGTCTCTGAATAAGCAGGGAACAATAATTTTCCATCTTCCATACACCCATCTACCCACCCAACAAACATGTGGTTTAACCCCTTCTCTGTGTCAGGCAGTAAACTTGGTGCTGGGGACCCAAAGATGAAAAAAAAACAGCTCTTGCCCTCAAGCTCAGAGTCTCGTGACATGTGATCGCACAATTACAATACTGAGTGCTTTGATCAAGGAAGCATAGGAAAGGGGCCCCTAACACAGCGTGGGGGGTAGGAGCTGACAATTGTGAACAGCATCTCAGCGGACAGAAGGGAGGTGGGAGAGGAAGCACAGACGGAAGGTGCAGGAGAAGGCGAGGGCACGGGCTGTGCAGGACCCTTTAGCCGGGGCGGAGAGACAGGGAGTGGCTGGAAAAGGCAGGCAGATCCAAGTCATGAAGGTTTTGTACATTTGGGTGCTACCCTTAGGGGCCTGATGGGTTTTGAGCATAGAAATGCCTTGCTTAGCTCCACATTTTATAAAAAACACCAACTGCAGTGAGGAGATGCGGTGGTGGGGGCAGGAATGGAAGCTGCGAGGCCACTTTGGAGCCTGTTGCATCTGCTCAGGAAAGAGAAGTTGAGGACCTGTCTGGGCAGGTGGGGAAGATCTGAGAGGCACGAGGGGTCGAGTGGGCAGGACGTGGCTATCTGCTTGTGGCTGGGGAGGGACAGGCAGGGGTCAACGGTGACTTCCAATGGTCTGACTCTGGCCACCACTGGGTCGCTGGTGATGCTTTTCACCGAGACAGAAAACAGGCAGAGGAAGATGGGCGCCAGGCCTGGGGCAGACAGAGGAGCTCAGTACGGAGACAGGGCACTGGGGCTGAGGGGATGGAGGTCCTAAGGCAGAAGTTTGAAAATCTTCAGGATATAAGTTCTGGGTTGAACAAACTCAGAATATTAGGTTTGAGGAGAGTGAATGAAGCAGGTGAAGAAGAACATGTTGAAGTGGGCTGGAGACGAGACAGTCCTACAGGCAGAGGGCACAAGCGTGGTCAGAGATGCAGGAATGTGGGGACCGGAGAGGGCTGGGAGATGGCAATATGGGAGCAGGGCCACCCAGAGACGGCAGAGTTTGAAGGACAAGAGAAGGAGTCAATACAGCGCGCTGAGGTGTGAGTGGGAGGCCGTAAGGGGGAGCGCGCGAAGACAGCTTTTTCAATCAGTTTGGCTGGGAAGGGAGAGGCCAGAGGAGGAAGCATTGGTTCCCAGCGGGAAGGCCTTGGTCTCGCTCACGTGGAGGGGAGGGAGTCAGCTGGGAGAAAGGCTGAAGGGTGGGGAGGGGGGTACAGGTCAAGTGGTAGAGCGCTCGCATGCTTAGCATGCATGAGGTCCTGGGTTCAGTCCCTATTCATTAAAAAAAATAAGTAAATAAATAAACCTAATCACCGCTCCCCCTTCCCTCGAAAGAAACAAAGGCTGAACGGAGAGATCTCGTGTCCCAGGCTCAGTGGGCTCCCAGATGGGCCTCCGCAGGGAACTCCCGGCCCTGTAGGTAGAGCAGCCGCTGGCCTGAAAGGCTGCCCTGCCAGGCCCCTCTGCTGCCACCAAAGACTTCAGCCCCTCCAGCTCCACCAAGGACTGTGTGAGACCTCTGTTCTGCAAACGGAGCCCCAGCTGGCGGGAGAGCGGACCCGGGACCTGGCCCACACCTTCTGTCGCCTCCGCGGCTTCAGCCTGAACCCGCCAGCGGGAAGCTTCCCTTGCGCCTCTGCTGCCAGCAGCCGCAGTTGTGGGCTAGGGCGGACCGTGGGACGTTCCTGGCACAGGGGTAACCCCGCTGACGCCTGGGGCCTCGGTGCTGAGCCAGGTGGAGGGCGCGGCTCGTCCAGCAAAGGCCCGTGGGCAGGCTGCCACCTAGTGTTGAGCTGGGCCTATAGCAGGAAGGCCTCTTCTGCACTCACCCTGGTGGAGGACAGGCAAGACAGGGGGAAACCAGAAAACCTGCAAGGAAGCCAGGCTTCAGGGAGGGGCTCACCATCCTGAATCCGAGGGAGAATGTATTTCAGGTGGAGACGAACAGCGAAGTCAGCCTTCGGCCGGAGACCAATACAACCAACAGCCCAGAGTTACAAGGCACTGTACCTACATTGTCTCTCATTTGATTCTCTGTGTTAGTTTTTACTGTTTTCCTGGATTTACAGATGTGGCTTACCCCTGGACAACTGAAAAGACTTGTCCACGTCAGTCATCTGTGAAATGGCTGAGCTGGGATTTGGAAAGGGGTTTTCAGATTTGGAGAGCTGTGGGGAGGAGGGGAGGGGCCTGAGTTTCATTTTAGGAGCAGTAAGAACAGTCTAGGCAGATGGAAGCATGAAACATGCAGGGTCTGGGCAAAACTGTACCTGGTTGACCTGCGGTAGAGAGTGAGGCAGGGAGGTGAGAGGCCCCACCTCTGCCCAGATGTGTGCAAGTGGCTGCTGGGCCTGAGGTAGACGAGGCCTAGGGAGTCCCACGCAGGAGCCAGGACAGGGGTCAGCACTGGATGTCAGGGGCTTGCGGAGGAGGAACCTAAGGGCTGACTGGCAAGATGGTCAGTGACAGGCCCAATGAGCATTTGGCCTGGTCACTGGCCCCTGGAACGGAGGACCTGAGATCAGAGAAATGCAGCAGCGAAAAATTGGGGCCCTGAGAGCAGGCAGCACCAAGGGAGTCTGGGCAGAGCCTTTCCTGGTAAGATTACAGGGGAAGAGAAAAATCCAGCTAGCTTACCTGCTGGCAGGTACCATCTAGGAAGGGAGACCAAGGGGCCCTGGGGATGCTGGTTGGGGCGGGTGGGTAGGACTGCCTTCAGTTCAGAGCCTGCAGGTGAGAAACAGCAAAATGTTTTCTTCTCACTTGCCTGGACCATGTCGGGAAGGTGTGGGGGCAGCACCTGGGGGGCAAGTAGCAGATCCCTGGTGAGAGTCGGAAGAAGGCCAAGCCCTGGGCCGCACATGCCAGCCCAGCTCCTCTGCACCGTCACCTGGCGCTGGATAAGCTGAGCCGGGAGGGAACAGCTTCCCACTGCTGCCGCTCCCTGAGTGCTCGCTTTTGCTTTGCGTTCCTCTTGGTTTCCCAAGTAAAGTTGCCTTTGAAAACAAAAATACACACCTCTCATTTTTCTCTGAACAAGAAGACAGGATCATTTGTTCCCACGCTGGGCGGGGTAACTAAAGGGACAGGACAGCTCTAGGGGCCCAGGCCTTAGGGTTCGAGCTGGAAGGGCAGTGAGCTGAGGCCGGGAGAAGGGCAGCTCGGGAGGATGGGAGGGAGTCTGCTGACGACACTACTGCCCTGACAGCGCCCCTTCAAGGCCTCTGAGTCCTGCTCCCTCGATCCCCCAAGGCCCCCACCAGCCCCTCTCCTGTCCACACACGCATTCAATACCTCCTTGCTTTCCTATTCACGACTAATGGCTAATTAGGTGTGTTGCAAATTGGAGACTATTGGTGATCTATCAATATATACTAATCAGTGACTATGTTCCTGAAATCTTCACTACTCCCACTCAGATTGTCTTAAAATTTTCTTTTTAATAAAAATCTAGTTATACAAGTAAGGCAGGACCATTACAGGAAGGTGGGGCGAGGATAATGAGGACAATGTCGATCAGACTGTCTTTTCAACTAATTAAAAATAAACAACCTTATCTCATCTCTGATGACTAGTGAGCTCTTCCCACCTCTCTTCCCAGCCACTGAAGGGTCCCGGTGCTGCGATGCCTTCTATGCAGCACAATTAATGAATTCTATGCAATTAACATCTGTGGGATGGCTGATTGCTGGCTGGGGCCCAGGGAGCTCCGGGTTTCCTACAGACACTAGAAACAACAAAGTGTGCTGGAGGTGGCTGGTCTGTGGCACGATGGCTCGGGAGCTGGCTGGGTTGCAGGTAGACTTGTTTTTCCCAGGTTCACTGGTGGCTTCCTGCTGTGACAATAAGCTCAGTCTCGCAGGAAAGGGGTCTGGATGGTGCTTCTGGATCACCTGAGTGTGAGTTGACCCTGGAAGGAGTCGTCCCCGGACAATCAGGTGCTGAGTACCGACTGTGTGCCGGGCACTGTGAGGACCACTGGGGATACAACAGTGAAGGCTGTTGGAGAGAGAATCCACAGACTAACTGGAATGCAGCCTGATAAATGTGGTCCTAGAGTTAGAACAAAACATGGGGGGGCGCGGAGGGGGTTGGCCCTGGGGTGGGGCCAGTCCAGGAAGCTTCACAGAAGAGGCAGCCTAAGAACTGGGCCTTTAAGGGTGAGTGAAGTGTAGCAGGCTGGGAGCACTGGGGCCAGGTAGACAGAAGAGATGTCTCTTCTAGACAAAATGAAGACTGAATAGAGACCTGGTGATATGATGGCTTTATTTTTTTTAATTTTTATTTATTTATTAGTGGAGGTACTGGATATGGAATCCAGGACCTTGTGCATGCTAAGCGCTCACTCTACCACTGAGCTGTACCCTCCCCCTATGACGGCTTTAAGCGTGTTCCAGGAACACCGAGAGGACCTTCCGGGGCTTACGTTTCACATCTGAGCTGCACAGTTAAAGGGAGCGGCTGCTGCTTCGGGGATCCGGTGTGAGAGCCTTCTCCCTTGCTCCTCCATGCTTTCCCGTGGTTTATCTGTCAGGGCACAGCCATGTCTGCTTGTGCGGTCCAGGCCCAGTTCCAATGCCTCCTTCCCTGAAGCCTCTGGGGTTGTCTAGACAGATGTGGCCTCCACATCTGGATTCTCAGCTCACGCTGTCCTCACTGCTGCTGTGGCCCCTTACACCCTTGTTCTCACTGTCTTAGGGTCTGTTTTCTCCACTAGACTCCGTGCTTACAGGCAGGAAGTACACTTGGTTCCTCCCTGCCTTCCTTGCCTCAGGCTCTGGACCTCACACACATGCTCCATCGATGCTGAATTCTTTATTTTGCTCTGTGAACACATCCCGGTCACTCAGCAGACCCTGGCTCAGTTTCCCCATCTAACCTCATTAGGGACTGAGGTAGGACTCTAAGCAGTCTGATGGGAGGTGAGAAGGTCCCAGGTAGATTGTCCTCATCAACCCCCATTAGCACTTGATTGAGAAGGTCACAGTCCAGGCTTATGTAACGAGAGCTCATTGTTTAACTGATTAAAACAGGTTCTCAGCTGGCAGACTGACAAGTGCATACTGCATGGCCTCTCCCACTCCACCTACAGCCCTAGAATGTGACAGATTTAGGAGCCAAGGCTTGGAATGCCTTGAAGATCCTGCTCCCAGCCGCCAGCTGGGTGTTACTGGGGCAGGGAGGACCCTGGCAACAGATCTGACCTGATTACTGGGCCCTTTGTTCCTGGGCCGTGGGAGCCTGCCCAGTTGCCGAGCCAGCTCCTGAGCGGCCCACCAGCAACTGCGAAGATGAGAAGCACGCCTCCTGGCTCCTGTCCTGTTGCATCATTGACCCCATTTGGGAACGTGAACCTTGCCTTTTCATGCTAATTGCCTGCTGAAGAATCAGGACACTTGTAAATCCCTAATTCCTGTAAGGAAGTTTTGTGATGATGCCCTTCCAAGAAAGAGTAGATGTGTAGACGGATAAGCAAAGGGGTGGGATAGAAGGATGGAAGACAGTAAATCAGCATCAGATGGATAGACAGGTGGATTGTAGAGTAAGTGAGTGGATGGGTGGGTGGATGGATGGAAGGGAGGTCAGCTTGTGCCGATGGCCCTCCTAGGGACACAGAGCCCTCCAGGTGTTGATGGTGGGGCTGGCAGGTGCTGCTGTAGCAGGAGCTCTGTTCCTGAAGGCTTGCTATCAGTAGCACTAAATATAACGGGGGTAACTCTTTCCCTTATTTTTCAGGAAACAGCAATAAATTGAATGCAACCGAGGCCTCTTCAGAGATTTGCCCCCTACTGAGACTTCCAAGCACCAAAATATTTATATTCTCCCCTTTCAGCATTGATGGGCGGACCACAGAGAACAGAGAGAAATAACCTGCAAATAAAACACCCTAGGAAAAGCCCAGCTATCACACTGATATAGCAAAAAATGGAAGAGCACTGCCAGCAGCCTGGGAAATGGAGAGCAGAGTCGACGCCGTAAACCCGTCATTCTGGCGCAGGCCTTGTGCTCCGTGTGTCTGTGCTCATGCGCAGGAGCTGTGTGTCGCTGCAGCTGTGATCCGCACGCCTACACTCTGTCACCTGCCTTCTCCACCTGACATCATGTCACGAGCGTTTCTCGATGTTGCTACATCGTCTTTATAATTACTTCAAATGATGGTAAAATATTTCATTCATGATGCTACTGCTGAATACTTAGGTTGCTTGTAATGTTTTTCCTTTGCTCATTTTCATGAATTAAAAAATGTAAGATATTTCACCCATTGCTTGGCAGAATGTACGTACTTAGTCGGTAGATAATTTCTTTCCCACCTCTCTCCTTCATCTATGTCTTTGTATCTGGGCTTTTCCTTAGGATAAAGGTTCCTTAGGGTTCAAAAGTTTAAATAGTTGTGTGGCTTTTCACACACACTGCTACCATGTTATTTTATTAATTACAATGATGATAATGTAAATAGCTCCATAGTTACACATATCGTCTCACAAAATCCTCTCACATCTCTAAGGGGTAGCCATGACCTCGTTTTAGATAAGAAAGCAGAGGCCTACAATTGTAAGTAATTTGCCCAGTGTCCATGTTGGTTCTGTTTCCTTTTTTCTCCCCAGGGTCTGGTACAATGCCTGGTGCATGGAATGACTTTCATAAATATTTGCTGAATGAAGTTCACAAATGGGAGTGTCATGATTCAAACCGAGACCTGGCTCACTTCAAAGCCTATGCTTTTTCATAATGCAAAAGAATTTTAAAAAATGTGTATATATGTGTGTGTGTAACTGAATCGCTTTGCTATACGCCTGAAACTAACATTGTAAATCAACTACACTTCAATAAAAATTAGAAGTTTTGAAAATGAAAAAATCCCACCAAAGCGTGTGCTTTTTACCTTAAACCTTGCTGATAGCTCTTGACGTTCACTTAGGTGGGGGTAGCGATGCAGGTGTTGACAAGCCCTTGGAACCAGGCTTGTGACGCACACCCATGCAGGCTCAGGGCAAATATTCGAGGCTATGATGTGCTGTGGGCGGGAGTTTAGGACCCTAATTATAGTTACCCTAGGACTGTGCCTGCCTGACTTTTCCCTGAGGTCGCCCAGGCAGGCCTCGTCTAGGGTTCTGAGGACAAGTGCGTGGACATTGGCCCTAAGTGCTCGGTGGCCGTGCTGAGCTCAGAGGGCTTACTGCCGTAGCTGGGTGACTTGTGCGTTTACGAGCACCCTGTCCTCATCAGAACCACAGCCTGAAATCCAAGTCCATGAGCTGAGGAGGCAGAGGGGCCCCCCTGGACTGAAAGTCCTGTGGCCCTATCCTTCCTAGTTTCACCCCAAAAAGCACCAGCCCCAAGAGTGTTGAGCACTCATTTCCGAAGGTCATGTCTCCCTGTATCAAGCAGAAATCTGTGTCCCATTTCTGTTGCACAGGAAGTATGTGGTGAGTGTCAGAATGGTTCTTCAGAGAACCTTAAAAATAAAAAGGTCTGGCCATGGATGCTGCCAAGGGCTGGAGACGGCAGTGAGCTGGCTGGTCTCAGGACTAAGGCAGGGACCCAGCACGGCGGGACTTCCCATATGCTGGGAGTGGAAGAGCTGCTTTCAGGTCTGACAGTCTCTGGGAAAGAGTACAGAAAAATACCAGGTTTGAGAGGAGAAACTCAGGAAGTTTCACATTTAACAGAGGGAGGGAGGAGTCACTGAAGGGACCAGAGGCAGTCCCAGAGGTAAGAGATTGTGTAATAAAGGGCCAGGCCTTCCAAGCAGTTCCACTCACACGTACCGAGCAGCTGCTTTGTACGTGTGGTCTGGTAAGTCTTGAGAATATAACGACAGATAAGACAGATCCCTGTCTTTCAGAAGATGCCACAGTCCACCTGGGAGACAGAAACGCAAAACAACAGCATCAGTGACAACCAAACACATAAATGTTCTGTTAGTCATATGATCTACCGCCCCCTAAAGGAAGGGCTGAGACGGCAGG